TATTTTTTTTAACAGTAAAATGAAAAGAAGATTTCAAAACTAATCTTCAAAAAATTACAGGCCAAGTGAATCAAACCTCATATATATGTGCAGTGAAAACTAAGAGGAACCAAGAACAGAGACAACATGAATCTCAAGGAGTGGTAAGGTAGGAAGCTGTGGCAAAAGCAATTCATAATAAACAGTTCTCTCCTGAACACCTGGGACGCATTATTTTCTGGTGTCTCATAGCTATAAATGCCACTTTAGTAACTGTATAGTAATATGTACCCAGACCCCCCTTTCTTTGAGGAAGAATTTTTGAACTAACTCTTGTTGTTTTATATAAAGAGATTCTTTTAAATGGATTTATGCATGGTGGAGTCAAGGTTTGCACTCTATAGTTAAAAAAAAAAAAAGTAGGGTATGTGCTGGCCCCCTAGAGTGACTCCTGAGTCTGGCTGTGTATGGTAGTGATTCTCTTTGCTCTCCAGCCCAGGGTCCCTCCTGTTCCTATTCCCATCTATCTTAGGAGCACACTGGAAATAATTTTATACATAATTCAAGTATCACTCATTATCTGTTCTCGATGAGTTTATCAGTGTCACAAGGAAAAACTGAACAAACAAACAGCTTTCTAAAAATAAGCATCAATATGTGTCGTTTCTGTTTATCTAAGTATCTATCATCTATCATCATCAATCTTTGTGTTTCTTCAAATAAAGAAATATGCAGCTACAGAAAAGCAATTCCAGAAAATGTAAAAAATGGAATAATTCATTTGACATCTAAAATAGATTTCATTATTACTTAATATTAACCTTAACAGATTTCCAATTTTACTCCATTGATATAACATCGTCCAATCACCTTTAACTTCACAAGTATGCAACATGTTGAAAACATGTTATATAACAAAAGATTATTAGCTATCCAAGTATGTCCATACTGGGAATAATGATCAGGCCTTTCTCTTAGTCTGTATTATTCATTTGGAGTGAGTGACCAAGTAGACAAACAAGAGAAAGTGTTTCGGTGGAATTCAAGACAGCCTGAGCTTGTGTTATGTGAAAAATTTAACATCTGTGTGTCTTTTAGGAGGCAGTGAAGAACAAATATTTTTATCTACACATGATCGTATGATGTACTTCTTCCATGTGAACAGGATGTGAACTAGATGTGCTCTAAATGAGAAAACATTCTATAAGAGTGCGACTCACTGCTACAACAATAGCAACTTGGTGTCAAAATTAAATTTCACACTCTTTTTTTTTCTTTGATTCAAAACAGGGTTTCTATGTATAGTCTTGGTTTTCCTGGACTCACTTTGTAGACCAGGCTGGCCTCAAACTCACCTGCCTTTGCCTCCCTGAGTGCTGGGATTACAGGCGTGTGCTACTTAGCCTGACTTTGCACACTTTCTTTTTCACTTACGTTCCTGTCAGCTGTTTACTTTCATTTTATTTTATTTGTTTAATTTTTGGAGGCGACGCATTGCCGTGTAGCCTAGGCTGGAACTTGTGGCTCTTCTTTGCCGGGCACCGTGCTACTGATGTCATACACTGTACCACCATACTAGGCTACATTTCTCTTAAATGCAACGTGTCTAAAAACTGGCTCCGTGTCTTTTCATAGTATTTTTCAATATATGATTTCAATAAAACCATCTTTTTTTTTTTACATTTTATTTATCATGATTTGTTCTTTTTGTGACAAGGGCTCATCCATAATCATGAAACACACACACACGCACACACAACACTGCACGTGGTTGTACATATACAGAGTATTATTCATTAGAGCTGCATGACTGAAGAACCATGTTTCTTCAGGTTTTTAGAAGATAGTCTCCTCTCCCAAGGCAATCATTGCTGTTAACCTCAGGGAAGAACTTCGGAATCTTCTTAATTCCTGATGCTTCCAAAATAAGTTTCATTACATTTTTGTTTTGTTTTGTTTTGCCTTATAAGCCTCCCTTTATGAAGGAAAGTTTCCATTTGGAAGAAATAGCCATATAATAAATTCTTCTTTGCATTTTATAAGGCCCTCAGTTTACCAGTAAATGCTACTTTAATGGTGTTTCTTTAGGAGTCTTGTTCTTGTTGCTGTTGTTTGAAAGGCAAGACAAATATTAGCGCATAGTGCCTCCCTGTGTAGGTCATTGTACATCTAGAGAATTTCTGATTTTGCAGGCATAATTTAGTTTCTGCATCTTTTCTAAAGCAAAGATATTATGTGAAATTTAACCTTGCTTAAGCTGTCAATGCAGTGCTGAGAGGTCCTTGGCGTGCACAGAGTTACAAATTCCTAGCTGCAAAAGCCTGAGCAAAAGGGCTTCAAGTATCCCTTGCCCTTCAGTCCCCTGTCTTTCCACATTCTACATTCCTGCCCCAGTTTTGAATAAAGCTGTGAAATGGAAGATGCCTGACTGGTTTTACCCTCTGTCCAAATTCAATGCTTAAAGAAACATGTCTGAGAGGATTCTGATGAACACTCCTTCCCATTGACATTTAAAATCTGCTAGACCCTACACTGTCCCCAGAGAGATCGCTACCACTGGGACTGAAATCTAATTTGCCTGTCACAAAAATGTAAAATAAACCTAAAGATAGGGAAAATGGAGATCTTTAACTCTCTAGTTAGCAATAATGTTGTCTACAGTAGCAATCATCCTTTCTCAGGCATATGTAATGGGGCCCTGGAGGGAATCCATGTAATCCTTGAAGAAAATAAATGTAAGTAGTCCAATGATAGTGCAAGGTGACAGAGGGTGCTCTTAGAGGACAAGCAGAGGACAAAACGAGAGCATGAACAACAGCGGAAGTAAAGTCTCTATTCTTCTAGGAATGCTAGAGAAGGTAAAGCCTCTATCTGTCGTCTGTCTATCTATCTGTCTGTCTATCTATCTATCTATCTATCTATCTATCTATCTATCTATCTATCTATCTATCTAT